CACACACGGCTCGGTGTGGTAAGGGATGTTCACGCAACATTGTGGGTCATGCTTCTCAAAGGTGGCATCCACGGCGCAGCGTGTGAAGGGCTCTGAGTCCACAGACATTCCTGAAAGGAAAGCGGTCCAGGGAGGCTGGGACCCCGGAGACCAGGGTGGGGCCTGAGGGCCCATTGCCCCTTCCACTTGCCTTGAGACCGGTCCTTCTGTCGAAGGAGGGGCTGACCTAAGGCTGCAGTTGCTTTCATCAGGTGGGATCTGGAGAAGGGTCAAAATGGAGCTCTCAGGCGGGTAGTTGAAGGGGTGACACCTGGGAAGAGAGTGATGTCTTGGAACAGACTGAACTTTATCTCAGAGGTTCCCCAAGCCCCTGCGTATGCACTCCAGGGAGCCTGGCTGCTGGACCTCATCCCACAGGGCAGCTCAGAGAGACAAGCTCATGAGGACCAGCTTGCGACCTCATTGTCCACAAGGACTCCCAAGTACGTCTCCCATCCTGGCTCGATCTTCCACCCTGGAGCAAGGAAGGGATGGCCTTCTGAGTTGGAGTCTTGCAATCATTGTCTTCCAGTCTTGGAGAGAAACACATATTCTACACATGGTGAGCCTCAGAGAGAGCCCAGCCCCGCTGTGCTGCCTCCGGGAGGTCTGGTCAGCTGTGCCTCCTCACTAAGCCTCCCTGAGCCTCAGAGAGAGCCTGGCCCCACTGTGCTGCCTCTGGGAGGCCCGGGCAGCTGTGCCTCCTCACTCAGCCTTACTGAGCGTTTCCACTCCCCGAACAAGGTGAAATTTGCTTCCGTCTGACCAGACAGTGCTTGGTGCAGCACTGGGTACAGTGCGCATGGTAGTCACTGTCATCGCTCGGCTCCAGGAGCCTTCAAGAAATCATCTCATCCGACAACCCATGTTTACCATAAGGGCCTTTTGGAGGCTGGGAGCAGGGGCTCACCCCTGTAACCCCACACTTTGGGAGGCCAAGACAGGAGGATGCCTTGAGCCCAGGGGTTAGAAACTGCAGTGAGCTATGATTGCACCACTGCACTCCAGCCTGGGTGACAGAGTGAGACCCTGTCTCAAAAAAACAAACAAACAAAAAAGAACCTTCCAGAGAACTGAGGGAAAGTGGAAATTTGATAAGAGATCTGGGCTGGAGAGAAGAGGCTTTTAAAGTATAAATATAATGGCAGGCTAAGAAAGATAGATACAGCCAATGGTAAGAAGCAGACAGGTAATTAGATTGGGCTGCTGGGAGGCGCTCAGGGAGACAAGCAGCGCAGGGGTGTGCCACTGTGAGGGGGAAACCGGGAAGCCCCCGCAACTGGTGTGCACAGCACAGGGGCAGAGCAACAACCTCTGCAGGCTGGACCTGCCCTGGGCAGGGGCCCCAGGGAGCCCTGTCCAGATAAACGCACAGCAGGAACCCAAAGCTGCAGATACACAGACCCCACACACAGCCTCCCACAGGGGGCAGGTGACCTGCAATCACAGCTCGCTGCAGCCTTCAACTCCTCAGCCCAGGTGATCCTCCCATCTCAGCCTCCCAAAGCGCTGGGATCACAGGTGTGCGCCACTGCACCTGGCCCATTGAAAGTTTTGACCTCAAGAACCCACTCCTCGTGGAAGAGGCGTTTAAAGAGTGACCCCCACAAGAAGGGTCCGGGAAGCTTCTAGAAGGGACCAACTTCCAGTGGAGCCGAGGGTGAGTGTGGAGGACACTGTCTTCTGACCCTAGACCACTACCCCGTCCGGCTGCAGTTCCTTCTGGGGTCCCTCAGCCAGATAGCCCCCAGAGCCTGGAACTCTCTTTCTGCCCAAACCCCTTCCCTGCTTTTCCCCACTTCTTTTTTCTCAAAGGAGGAAAATGAAGGAAGCAAAAGATAACCAGTGAGTGGCTGAAATCCTGCCTTGCCCCACCCATAACAGGGATTCACCACCGCTGAGACAGGGAACTCGCTACCTCACACAACCTGCCCAGCACAGGCGCCTTCCCTCCTGGCTCATCCCACCCAAGCAGGGGTCTTCCAGAGCTCCTGGGGTGGGCAGCACCTCTCTCCCCAGAAGGACTGTTCTGGAAGGAGCACCTCCCTGGGCCCTCCAGTGGGCCCGAAAAGTTCCCTCCGGCACCATCCATACATGGGGAGTTTTGCTTCATCAAACGCGTGGCTGGCGGCTCAGGGCTCAGCTCCAGACCTGCCCGGCTGTCTGGCCTTCTCACACCACCCCTCTCTCAGGACCATGGCCCTTTCTGATGTCGGCTTGTAGGGTCTCAGCCACCTCCCCGACCCGCCTGTCGGAATGCGGGTCTGTGTCCCGGCCAACAGGGAAGTCTGTGGAGACAGGGCCGAGTCTCAGCACCCAGTCGGCATGCCCCCGGACACCAGCGCCCTCCCAGTCCCAGGGTCAGTGCTCAGGTGGGACTCAGACCTCGCAGGCTGGTCAGGGACAGCTCCCGTTAGGAGCCAGCAGAGGGCGCTTCCAGGGAGGCCCCTCACCTTCTGCTGCACCCCAAGCAAGGGACCAGAGGTGCTGTCCCAGCACCACCCGAGCCTCGAAGACACTCAGGGCAGCCCCTCAGGCCCCTGCCACCCAGCTGGGGTCACACCCTTGCTCACCGCTCTGCTCTCCACCCCACCCAGCCCAGCCCCACTGACTTGGCTGCTCAGGAGCGGAGGCTCCCAGGAGGCTCCCAGGGGAAGGAGCCCCGCCTGGTGCAGGCAGGTGCCGCGAGCTGGCCCCGGAAGCCCCCACTCGCTCCTCCACGCAGCCTGCCCCGGCTCCCGGTACCCTGAGGCACCTTGCTGAGGCCGAGTCTTCAGAAACAGGAGCACTCGCCCGAGAGCCTCTGCCTAGGGCCTCGGCCACTGCCCCTCCCTTCATCTTCTGCAGCCTGGGAAGCGGCTGGCTCTCAGTGTGCCAACTACCAGGTGGCACGGGCAGAGGACGGGGCCTGATGGGGGAGAAGAAAGCAGCCAGGAGGAGGGGCTTGGCAAGCCAAGGGGCAGGAGAGCAGGACGGAGCAGGCTGCGCTCAGTCGCCGGGTCACGGAGGCCCATCCTGCCTGTGGGCACGGCCGTGCCCATCCTCAGGTGGTCCTTTGTGTGTGCAGAGCTGCCATCCTCTGGGGGGCTCCCCATCACCAAGGCTCTAATCCCAGAGCCCCATTGCTGGGGAGGTGGGGGTGGCAAGAGTCTGCGTGCCTCAGGCTGCGCTGGGGCACCCACCCCACCCGCAGCCCAGGTTTCCCCCAGTAATGCCATAATTGGGTGGGATTTTTGCTGCGAGGCAAGGTCCAGAGGAGCACAAACACGCTCCCTCCCCTCCCCTCCCGCCCCCACCGCGGCTTCATTCCAGAGCTCTTCCCTCCTTCCCTCAGAGGGTAGGGGCCTGCAGTACCTCGGAGAAGGGGGTAGGCGGCTGGGCATGCGTAGAGGGAACTGGATTCCCCAGGCAGTGAGGAGCAAAAGGAACTTTTCTTCAGAGAGAACGGCTGTCATTCTGAATTCAGGAAGGGACCCCTGACATAGTCACCAGGTGACCCCCCAGGCCGGTGTCCCCAGGATCACAGGCTCCCTCTGCAGATGCAGAACCAGCTGTGAGTGGGGCACACCGTGGAAAGTGCCTGCCTTGGTCCCCCAGCCAGTGACACAGCTGAGGACAGACATCTCAGCCACCCCGGCCCTGAGAAGCTGCACAGAAGCAGCCCCATATCCTCCCTGCCTCTCCACGCACCTCCCTCCCGCAACACACACTGCAGCCGCGCTCGAGGCCTGGCCCACGGGCTGGGCAGTGCAGGATCCCCAGAGAACACAGCACTGACGAGCGCGGGGCTGCTCCTAGCTCTCAGAAGCTCCTGGAGCCTCCTCCCTCAATACCTACGCGGCAACCAAGATTCCTGCTGAGATTAGGTCACAGAGTGACTGCGGGAGGACCAGCCGCGGTGGGAGAGTGCCTCTCACCACCCCTGTTATCAGGTGCCCCGGGGGGAGACTGGGGACACTTCCCCTCCGCAAATTACAACCTCCCTGGGCTGCACAGGGATATGCAAATGACTGGGAGCTGTAGAGTGGGCTGGTCGCTGGTGACCTTGGGCAAGTCACTTTCCCGCTCTGGTCTCCCCTCTGTCAGCAGACTCCTCCAGCGAACCTCGATAATCAGAAATCCCTCTGGCTGAACAGGCTGCGTAGCCCGGGAACACCTGGAGGTCGGTGCTCCCAGAACCCGGGGCAGCGCTGCGCTTCCCCACAGACCCAGAGCGCCAGGGGCTTCCCTGGTGTAGGGAGGGGGAGAAAAATGGAGGGGTCAATCCCTGTGCCACACAGTCCCACTCGCCCCCAACTGTGACTCAGAGGCGCGTGGCTGCACCTTGGAGGTCCACCCGGCGGCTCTCCCCACTGCAGGCTGCACCCCTTCCGGCCTCTCTCTGTCCGCCGCACGCGCGGGCAGCCTGGTCTCAGGGGAAGAAGGAGTCGGTCCTCAGGCAGACGGGGCCAAAGGACGTGCACCCGACAAACGCTGGCTCGCGCCCCAACGCTGCGCCCGGGCAGGGTGACGGATGAAGGGAGCCTTAGCCCAGCCACCTCCAGGCCAACAGACGCAGGTCGCCATAGACCAGGGGCGGGAGGAGGACTGCGTGTCCCACGGTGAGCGCAGGGCGCGCGGGGCTGGAAACCGAGTACGCGGCCCCAGAGTCCTGAGGGGCGCGGCCCGGGAGCTCCAGGAGGGCGCCTGCGGACCGCGCAGCCCCGGGCCGGCCGCCTGGCCATCTGGCGCGCCCCAGCGCCACGCGCACACCTGGGCGCCCGCACACCCGCACGCCCTTGGGCACCCCCGCACCCACAGCCACGGGAGGGGGCCGCCGCCGCCGCCGCCGCCGCTCGGGTTCCCAGGGCCCCGCCCGCCCCGGCCCGCCCCGCCCGGGCCCCGGCCCCGGCGGGCGCCCCCCGCGGCGCTGCCCCGCCCCCGCCGCCCCGCGCCGCCCCGGGCCTCGGCCCGCAGCCCGGCCGCCGGCCCACCTGGCGCAGCGCCGCCCTCGGAGCCCGCGCACACCCGCGCACCCGCGGCCGCAGGAGGCCCCAGCGACGCCGCCGCGCCAGCTCCCAGGGCCCGGCCCGCCCCGGCGCTCACGCTCTCGGGGCGGACTCCAGGCCCTCCGCGCCCTCCCGCGCGGCGATGGCCCCGCTCGGATACTTCTTACTTCTCTGCAGCCTGAAGCAGGTTCTGGGCAGCTACCCGATCTGGTGGTGAGTGAGGCTCCTCGCGTTCGCCCCTGCCCCCGTGCGCCGCGCCCGCAGCAGACCGCCTCTCGGGCAGGGACCCGGCGGTGGCCCGAGCCCGCGCCCTCCTGCTCCCGCCCGGCGTGTCGGCCGCTCGCGGTTGGTTTTCCTGGACGGCCACGTTGGACCTGTTCAGGCCAGGCTGGGACGCGTGGGTGGCGGGGCTTCCGCAGACAGTGATTCCCGGGCGGGGGTGGGGGCGATTTCGGAGAAGGTCCCAGCTGCCCCTGGCGTCGGACGGGGCGAGCAGTGGGCTGGGGAGAGGCAGAAAGAAGGTCGGCACGCGCGGTCGCCGAGGCCAGGGGACAGGCGAGGAAAGAGGGCCAGAGAGAGGGAATTCGCTGGAGACGTTCCTCAAAAACCGTATCTTACACACAAACACACACACGTTTTAAAACAAAGTCGGTGAGACAAGACTGAACAGCTCGGAGCCGCGTGGTTACGTAAAGAAAGCTGGGACCCGGCGGGGAGTGGCGCAGAGCCGGCGGCGGGGCGCACTGGGGGCCCCTCTCTGCCAGCCCTCCGCCTGGGTCCGCCTGGCAAGGAGGGGCTGCTGGAGAGAGAGGTAAGGGGAAGCTCAGCGCCGGGTGTGAGGGACTCCAGGACCCTCAATCAGAAAGCTCTGGGCTGCGCCCTCCACGCCGGAAAAGGCGCGTTCCGTGAGACCCTCCCCAGCCGGGCGATGGAAGTGCAGACAAATCAAAGGAAGGGTCCCCAAAGGTCTCTCCCAGGCCTCCAGCCTCCACCGCACACATCCTGTGGAAAGGGAAACGGGGGCCACACTTTCCTAAGTGCTTGTGATCCCTCAGAGCCCTCACCAAGCAAGGGTCACCCCAGTTCCGAATTAAGGGCGCTCTGAGATACCCAAGATTGAGGAACACAAGTGGGAGGACTGTGGACACGCGGGGCCAGGCGCAGCGCTGTAGGACCCACAGTTGGAGAGACGCCTCTCCACAAGCATGCACACTCCCCCATCCTTCTCCGACGGCAGCCTGGAATTATAATAATTATGCCGAGGGGAAGGGGGGAGACCCAGCGAGCTGAGGTACATCTAATCCGATAATAATTTTTCTCTTCGAGATGGTTCAGGAGCGGGGGCTCCCGCGGTAGGGGCGCCGGGCCAGGAGCAGCCGGGCGGGGAAGGGGCAGCCCTAGGCGGCCGAAGGGCCTGGAAGAGGCCATGGGAACGCGCTTCAGGGACCCCCCCCTACCCCCGCGCGCCCTGACTTCCGCGTGCCCGTTTCCCGTGCAACACCTGCGGCGCTCGGTGGCCCACCTGAGCTCCAGGCTCCAGGCGCGCCTTGGGGCGCAGGGATACTGACAGGCGTCCAGACGGCCGCAGGGGGCCAGGGCAGCGAGTCCCCTGAGAGAGCCCCGAGGGCCGCCTCACGCACCAGGCTTCTAATTAGAACTCGCCGCCGCGTTCCTGAGCGCAAAAGGAAGCGCCTTCGCCCCCGCGCCCTTCCCATCAATGTCACCAGCCTCCTGTCAACCCCGCGCCCTAGGATCCTTGTCTTGTCGGCCCCGAGGGTTTCTAGCCTCCGTCCCCACCCACCTCATACCCAAGTACACCTCGCTTTCACCCGGGCCCCCTGTGTTCCGCCCCGAACGCACTCTGAGACACCCTCGGGACAGTCAGACATTCTTCAGGGGAGCCAGGAGGAGCAGAGAAGTGAAGTCCCTGGACTCTCTCCGCCCTCCCATCAAGAGACCAGGACAGCCCTTTGGCCACACAGGGAAGGGGGGCCTGGAACCCCACCTGACACTGACGGGGGTGGGTGGTGAGGACCCCTCCCCTGTCCCCACCCCCACTTTGTTCTCAGTAGGGTTCTCACACTTGGGGATTCTCTACTTCCTGAGAAGCAGCATCTTCTTCAGGGTTGCTGGCTCCCTGGGGACGAGACTGCCCCCTTCTTGATCCCCTCTCTGCCCCCAGGCAGGCTCTGGGGCGGGAGCAAGGACATGCCTTCCCCGGAGGGAGGGGGGAGCCTGAGTAGTACACAGGCACCCCAGCAGGGAGACTCACAGGACCCAGCGCTACAGGACCCCTGCTGCTGAGGGCCTGCAGTTTAATAGCGGGAAGCTTCTCTCTCTTCCTCTGCATCTTCTACCCAGCACAGTGTCTCCTTTCTCCTGCCTCCTCACATCCACCCCAGATTAAGCATCACCGGGGAGGAGGGGGAACTTGGCCCCTGCCAGGTGGACTGCTGGTGAGCCCCAGTGCAGCAGAGCCGGCTAGGGTGGGGGCCTCTCTCTAACCTGCGCCCCCAGCCCCTCCCGAACAGGCACCACTGGCCCCTTCGCTTCTCCGGGGGCTCCACCATCCCCGAACACAAGTGAAGGAGAATCTCCTCACCTGGAGAAACAAACCAGGAAACATCCCAAATCAGGGTAATTAGGCTTTCGAAGTCGGCAGAGGGAGAGGCAAAGGTGTTGCAGGGGTGGCCAGTAGCCCTGCTAGAGTGTGAAGGGCCACCTGCCTCCCCAGGGCTGGTGGCCCAGAGGTATCTTACACCACGCAGCAGATGCCAGTGGTCCCAAGGCCCAGTGGGTCTGAAATGCAGAGAGGTGGGCCTGGCCTGAGACTGAATGGCCCAGAGCTGTGCAGACATCCCGGAGAGTTCCTTCTGAGCTGGTCCAGCAACAGAGAAGAGCCAGGCAGGGGACCAGACAGGCCTGGGCACCTGACCATCTGCGTCCCATTAGGCCACAGACGGCAGGGACGAAGTGGCCCCGCTTCCCTGCACGCCCCTTCCAAGCTGAGTTCTCGGGAACCAGAATTCACAGAAGAGCCCACGTGGACAGAAGACAGGGCAGTTGAGCTGCAAGACCACAACCCCATCTGAGGATAATCCCCGTCGCCCGCCCTCCATTGTGCTCCCAGCACCTCTCCCTCCTTCTTCCCGTGTCTGGGTTAATGGCATCTTGTTATCTCCCCAGGGACTCCACCAGGACCCTAGAGGTCTGCCTGTGCCTCCTGCCACCGCCTCCTGAGGGTCCAAGCTTTGGGGCTGGGGACTGGATGTTGTTTATCTTTCAAGTCCCCCCGCGGCCATCACCAGACTGGGCTGTGGCAGTCCCGCCACGGCCCCCTCCCAATTCCGTTCTCAGTGGTGGCCACACTCTCTCCCCTGGGACCCACACCCTCCCAGCCACCTGGAGTTGCTGCCAGGCCTGGTCATGGCTACCGCCGCCACCTGGCCGAGCACAGCAAGCTCTGTTCCTCACCTACGCCCGGTCTCCCTCTCAGGCCCTTCCCTCTGCCGGGCCTCACCAGCTCCTGCTGCACGGTGGGCTCCTGAGCCGCCTGCAGATGACCACCCAGACGTCCCAGGGAGGCACAGTGTGAGCCGTGCCCAGCCTTTTCCCTGCCCCTGGCCTGCTCCACAGCCTGGCTCATGCTCCCTGCAGGGTCCCCTCACGTCCCTCTGGGCCTCAAGCTTGTAAAACACATTGTGGCCCCCATTTTTATTGGGTCTCTCACACAGTCCTTGGCAGAGCATGTACGCCCTTTCAGGCCCCCACTCCCCTGCACGCTCAGGGGTGCAAACAACCTGGGCACAGGGCTCAGCCCCTTCTCCCACCCCTTCATGGGCTGGAGGGCCGGCACTCCTGGAAACCCTGCTCAGAGGCGTCTGCACCCCCGACCAGGAGCCTGGCCGGTGTCCTCAGTCCGGGTGGGCCTCACTGCAGTGGGAGACAGCCTGAGTGGAACGCGGGGCAGGTGAAGAGCGGCTGGGGTGGGGTGGGGCAGGAGCTGGGAGGCGGGGTGTAGAGAGGGAAGGAACCTGGCTAGAATGATGGGGCAGGCAGAGGTGTGCAGCGGGCGGGCAGGAGGCTGCAGCACGGCTGTTTCAGGGACTGAGAGGGGCCAGTTGGACAGGGCAGGGACATGGCCCAGGGTACCCCGAAGCTCAGATGGGAAGGGCCTTGTGACAGGAGGGATGGGTGCCACTCTCAGAGCCACTCTGCCTCCACGCTAGCGTGAGACATGCGCTCCTACCCAGGCCTGGCCTCGTCCCTTCTTCCTTCTCCCTTCCCTTTCACCTGTCTGTGTCTCTGTCTCTGCTTCTCTCTTGCCTGTCTCTGTCTCTGTCTCTGTCTCCGTCTCATCTGTATACCTTTGTGTCTCAGTCTCTCCCTGTCCATCTCTCTCTCTTCCTTGTCTCTGTCTGCCCGTCTGTATCTCTAGCTCTCTGTATCTGTCTCTGCCTTTGTCACTCTTTGTCCCTCTCTCCCTGCCTGTCTCTGTCACTGTATCTCTTTTCATCTCTGTCTCTTGTGTCTCTGCCTCTCTGTCTCTGTGCCTCTGGCCCTGAGGACAGCAGTCATTAGCAAATAAAACTCATGAAATGAGCTGAGTGGAGCCACCAGGCCAGCCCTTCTAGAGCTGTGGGCTCAGGTACCTGGGGGCGGCATTGCCCCTCAGAGCTGCCTACACAAACCCCTCCTGAGGGTAATGACCAGGAGTGGCCACACGTCAACTGTCTGCAGCCAGACATCAGCCCTGCATGACCGCCAGGGTCTGTAGCCACTGCAGGGACCCACAGCACCTTTCTGAGCGGAGCACAAAGCTCCTTCTGCCTGGAGCTCACATCACAGGCACTGGCTGGCTTGGGCCCTTGAGGCTGGCTGCCCCTCCAACCCCCGGGGCTTGTTCTAAGGGCATTTGCTTGGCATAGGCCTCCTGGAATCCTCTGTGGGGGATAAGCACATACAGTCATAGAGCCCAATCTTAGGGGTGGTGACCGCTGGGGGCTGCTTCTTCCCCCGGGTCCCTTGTGGCCACCAGCGGCTCTCGGGGAGGGAAGCCATGGTGTCCAGCAACCCTCCCAAGACGGCCAGCTCCCTCCAGGGACCCCGCTGGGGCTACTCAAGGAGGGCTTAATGTGAACGCTTGGTCACCTGTCCATGAAGAAATCGGAACAGAAATGGGAATTTTAAAAGGATTTGGTGACCTTGTAGTG